CGGCCGCCACACCCGCCGCGACCTGCGGCCTGTCGGTGCCGTTTGTTTGCGCCGCCGCTGCTGTTGCTGCTGCTGCTACTACTGCTGCCCCATCTACTTCCACGGATACCGCACCGTTCAACGTCTTCCCCTTCACCACGTCATCTTCATTGGTGTTGGTGTTGTTATTGTCTACACTTGAGCCGCTGCTGATGACGACAGAACTGCCCGCCGCCGTATCTTCCTCGAACACAGTCAATTCGGTGTGCTCCGTGTGCGCCCTCAGCGTGCCCCACTGAATGTAGCGCAGCAGCATATATATGTAGCACGGGAACCCAACAACCGTCACGCCGAGAGCTGGGCCCAGCCACAACGCCTCAATGCCAAAGCTTGTGAGGAAGAAGAGAATATTCCCCAGCGGGACACCTACAACGGAGTACACAACAAGGATTACAATGGCACCCTGCTTCTGCAGCCCGCAGCCACGCAGAACACCCATCATGCAGCTTTGGAACGCGTCAAAGGTATGGTACACAAAGAAGTACTTTAGCATCCCATGAAATAGCGTCACCACCTCCTCACTGTTGGTGAACATGTACGGAAAAAGGTCTTTTACCAGTAGAACAATGACGAGGTTGAAGAGCGCAATCGCCACTGTTGTACCGAGGCAGCAGAATGCGACGCGCCGTGCCAGAGCGGTTTTACCCTCCCCTATTGCATTCCCCACCAGCACCGAGGCGGCGATGAATGTCCCCGATGCGTTCGCCCAGCACACCCCAGACAACTGGAACACAATGCCAAACGCCGCGAGCTCCTCCGGTGTGCCGAAGCCGGAGCAGATGTTGTTGATCTCCAGCGACACCCACTCGCTGAGCATCATACCCATCGATGGGATGGCGAGGCTCAACAGCGGGCCCCAGTTCCGGTACGCACCATCGTCCCAGCCACCCCAGGTGTCCTTGTACTTCTTCGTCACAACGAGGTAGCACCACAGCCCACCGGACATGAGCGTCATGAGAATGCACCAGCCAGCCGGAGCACCAGCGAAGCCAAACGCCTCCACGCACCCGATGAGGAGAAACGGGAACATGAGGGCGCCCAGTACAAGGTTCACTGAGAGAGGATTATTCAAGTGCTGGCACGCGAAGTAGCGACGCAGGAGCTCCAGCATCATGGCAGGGAAGACGCCCCATATCGCAATGCGGCAGAACTGCCCAGTATATTCCACAACGTCGGGGTTCTGTCCAAGAAAAATCAAAATGCGGTCAACGAACAGAATGATGGGGGAGAGGAGGAGGCCAATCAGCATCAGCATCAAGAACATGCGCTGAGCATACACACCGTACGCCTTACTCTTCGGGTCCCGACCGTACGTGTGAGAAAGAACTGTCTCAAGCGCCCCACAAAAACCCGCTGCAAAGGCAAATGCCGTCGCGTTGATAAGACCGTACGCCAGGGAGGCCCCACCTAATTGATTCACCCCGAGATTACCAACAACAGCGATCATGGCCACGTTGATGGAAAACTGCGCGAGCTGGGCGAAACTCAGTGGGATGGACATGACAATAATGCGCCTCAGTATATCCTTCGTTGGTACAGACTCTGGGATGTGCGCATGCTGAGCCGCACCACCAACAAAGGAGCTATTTAATGAGGGCATTCAATATATGAAAAACAATCTCCACGTAAATGCCCGTTTAAACAAGCTTCGTTTCCTCTCCTATATATATATATATATATATATATATATA